TACTAGCTACTAGTTACTAGTTACTAGTTACTAGTTACTACTACTACTACTACTACTACGACTACGACTACGACTATGACTACGACTACGACTACGACTACATACTACTACTACCACCACTCCTATACCACTACTACCACCCTTACTACTACTACCACCACTACCACTACCACTACCTCTACTACCACTACCACTACTGCCACGACTACCACTACTTGGATGATCTGGGGGTTGCTAGACATTTAGCATCCTTTAACATAATTACATTAGAAATTAACATAATTAGCTTTGATTAGCTAAGGGGTTAACTTGCTTAGCAAAATCAATTTAGCTAAGGGGTTAGCTAAGGAGTTAGCTAAAGAGTTAACCAACAAGTTAGCTCCAAATTTTGCATATTTACCTCTATATTTTTAATTTGAATTTGCATAGAAAAGTCCTATTGTTGGACAATGTCAAACTGTGCATTTCATCATAAATGAAAACAAAAGCAGAACATGACAGCACATTGACTTGTTAAACATGCACCCATTGCCACTTCAATTCTGCAGAAAAACAAAACCCAAGTTTCACAGCAAAGACATAACTTGAGCTTTGTAAAGCTATACAGCTTTTTGTGGCAGAGCTTTGCCAAGGCTGGCCTCTCTCTCTATATATATATATATGGACTTGTGGATCATTGGGCAACTCTATAAACATTGAGTTTCACAAATAACATTGAATTTCACAAATATCAAATAAAAGAGCCTCCTTGGAGCCTTGCATGTGGCTTGCTAAATGAGCTTGTGGGCAGCTTACATGAAGGATTTGTTGAGGCAAGCACACATTTTGGAGTCTTCCATTGCATGTTGTAGTCTTTGTGCAACAGGTTGGCTTGGCACCATGTGGTCACACAGCATGGGAATTCATATCCTTTTGTGACACCAATGCCAAGGGAGCAATGTACGAATGTCTTCAGAAGGCAGAGTGATATAAATCAAAGGGCTCATGATGTCTTGGATGTCGATGAACTGCTTGGAGGAAGTAGCTTTCCAAGCTGCTGAATTTGTAGAAGCATCCACTGCCTGCAATTGCAGCATTTGCACCAAAGCCCAGATGGATGGCTGATTCTTCAACTGGCAGAACATCCAAACTTCTGCAGCTTGTGGTTCTGTGCTCTGCAAGAGCACCAAATCTCCTTTAGAACATTTCCCATGCAGAAGCTTCGCTTCCTTGCTTGTCAAAATGCTCTCAATGGGGCATTGCAAGTGAGAGGCCAACAGCTTTGCAGTTTTCTTTGGTGCCAAGTGTGGGTTCAGCAGGTGGGGTCCAGGAAGAAACAGCTCATTGTTCTTGAGCTTGGCCAACTCTTCTGCCACAATTTCTTGGAAAAGGGATTGTTCAAAGCTCACTGTATTGTGAATGGCTGTAGCAAACTTCTTTGACAACCTTGTTTTTACGCTCGCATGTAAAGCAGCTGGGTAGTTTGCCCCACCTTCCAAGCTGGTCTGACATGTGTAGAGGCCAATGAAATTTGGGTGTTAAATGCCACCCACACTTGGCAGCCAATGCCAGACTTTGCTCCACACTTCCCAGCAGGAGTTCTTTGGATGCAAGCCCCCACATTTGCCCTTCAGACAGAATAAAAATCACTTTTGCCATGGCTAAAAAAGCCAAGCACTGATCATTGTATTTCCCAAGGGGCAATAGCATTTTTCTGCACCAGAAAACCATAATGGGTAGTATTGCCAACACTTCAGATGCTTGGAGCTGTAGCCTTTGGTGTTGTTTGTACTTTTTGATTCTCTTCCCATCAAAAAGCTCATGCAAGTGGTTCATGGACCAGTGAATTGGCAAATGCCATTTGGTCAGATATTTGCCAAAGTTCTCCCAAGATACAGCTGGTAGAGCAGCGAAAAGCTCATATGCAGCTACACTGAAAGTGCCATTGGAGCATGTGCCATGCATCCAATCATGAGCAAATTGCTCAGCTGGTTGCAGAAGCCCTGCTGCCCTGATACCCTTGTCCAGTGGTAGAATGAGGGGATGGTATGTTTTCCCAACAGCCTTTTGCCAGAGCAAAAAATCCTGCTTGTTGAGCTCTTTCTTCTTGTCTGACAGCCTATCATAAGAAGACAAAATCTCTTCAGAAGTGAAAATTCTCAAGTCAGAATATTTCAGGTTGCTTGCGCATTGGACCTCATCTTCATCATCTTTGCTTGCAAGTCTGTCAGCTTTCAAATTGCATAAGAGACATGGCTTCAGAGCTGCATCACCTCTGTAAGACCAACAGAACTTGTGGCTCCCTCCATCCTGCAAGATGACTTTCAGATCCAAAAATATCTTCAAAGATGGCTCCCCAGGCAAGAGGAGGCCCAATCTAGGGTCACAAATGTCATCCAAAAAGATTGATTTGATCACTGCTGCAAACACCTGAGAAATTCCTCCTTGCAGCTTTTCAACTTCAGAGGATCTGAGATGCATGACTGGGAACCAAGAAAGCTCTTGGGAGAGCTCATCAAGGCTGAATTCCAAAATAGAAGAGTAGATTGCCCATGTCTTCCTGGTGGCCCTGGCTGCTAGCACATTACCTGCATTAACTTCATCCATGTACAGGATGAGCCCCCAAGGCTTTGAGAAGGAGCATGGGTAAGATGCCATTGTTCTTCTGAGAACCTCTTTGAAAGAAGGTGATTCAGAGAATAGAGCAGCCAAATAACTCTTCACATTCAAAGCTGGAAATGTTTTCACAGAGCCATCCAGGGCTTCGACTTGAATTGATGCCTTCAAAGGGCCATATGGGTATTCCACCTCCAAGATTGCTTTGGTTGCCCTGGTAAATAGTGGTCTTGAAGATTCCTTTGGCAAGCCATTCTCTCTGATGTCCTGGCAAATGGCACTCAGAGCACTTTGACTGACATAAGGTGTGGATCTTCTCAATTGCTCTAGCCTCCTGTATTTGGCAGGAGGCCCATGGGATGAAGAGGAAGCCATGTTTGGGCCATGTTTGGACAAAGAACCCCTTTGTGGGGCATGCTACATTGAAATCACTTAGGCAACCGTCATGTATGTTGAGAAGGCTTGTCACTCCAGACTTTGTGTGCCAATAATGGGTACTGGGGAAACAATGTGATTGAACAACTTCATTGCAGTTTTGGTGGTGCTACCATAAAAGTGGCTGCCAGGTACTTGAACAAAAACTTCACAGATGCATGTTGCTTAGCAAGCTTCAGCCCACAACCAAAATCATTGAGCTTCCAAAAATGCTGTCTTGAATGAGCTTCATACAGCTATGTTGAGCCTACACAGTGCTTAAAAAATGAGCTTGTACACAGCTAAGTGGTTTCTTTGGGATCAGAGTAATCCCTTATTTTCTGGTGACCTCAGCTGTCTGATGTTTTTGCACAAAAGATTCCAAGCATAGCTTAGACATGTGCAGTGTTCCCCTGCAAGAATAGGCTAAGCAATCTTGATGTTCAGCAAACAAATTGTTTCAGTGGGATGTCAAGACATGTGGTTCAGTTTTGCACCAAAACATGCTTGCCTTTGAGCTTGCTTCCCCAAATCCTACTGCATGGGCAATCACTTCCAGCTTTTGCCATCCTTTGCCAAAGCTGCCTTCCAAGCTTCCCTTCCATTGCATCTTAAGCCAGCAAAGTCTTTCTTTCTGCAGGACAAGCATCCTTTCACATTGCCTCGACATCGAAGACACCCCCAGCAGTCCTGGTCCTGCTCTGCAAGGTCTTGAGGTGCCACTTGCACACTGGCTGCAGGCCTCTTCAGCACACTGGCTGCAGGCCTCTTGAGGACAGCACCCTTGACATTTTTCTCCTTTGGCTTTGTGGTGGGGTTGGATTTGGGCATTGTCTTCTCATTTTTCAGTTCTTGAAACTGCTCCTCTTCCAAATCAGGTAAAGCCACTTGGAGCTGGTCATTATCCATCCTGTCACCATTGTCCTGTTGCTTACTTGCTTCAGAGCAAGTAAAGGAGTTGGCAGAAGGCAAATTCAGCAAGGCTTTGGGCTTCATGTTCTCAAGGCTGTTGGCACCTTCCACTGACAGAGGCTTTGACAAACTCAAGCAAGGTCTTGCCACAGTGCCAGGGGCCTGACTTCTATCACCCAGCAGCCTCTCCAACTTGCAACTTAGCTGGCCCACCACTCTGTCAGCCACTCTGTCCTCCAAATCCTCTTCTGCCAGTACAGAACTCTTTCTCTTGAGCTTCTTGTCAAGAACCTTGCTGCTGTCTTCTCTCAGCAGCCTACTGGTGGACCTGACTGGGATATGATGCAGCACCAAGAAGTTGAGGTCTTCCAAGTGCTTGGAAACAGGTGGGTCTTCATTGTCATAGGCTGTGGCCACAAAGCTTTCATTGACCATGGAAGGCTGCATGGGGTAGGTGAGGACGCAAGGCACCCCTGGGGCTGCTTGGTGAGAAGAGCTCAAGAAAGCACTTGAGAATTGCTGGGCTGTGTCATAGATGGCCTTGTAGGTGGGAAAGGGTTTGCCCTTCTCCATTTCATTCAGAACCATAATGGCAATGCACCTTTTCTTTAAGCTTTCTTTGAGGCTCTTGACACCAATTTTCTTCAGCCTGGCAATCAAAACATTGGCTGCCTGCCAGAAGGGCAGTTCCTTGAAAGCTTTCCAGTCAGAAGCAGTCAAGTAGTTGGTCAGATGGTCACATGTTTGTGCCTGCAAGGACAGCTTGACAGCAGACTGGTGGCTGTTTTCAATGACCAGCTGGTCACATTGGGCTAACAAATCATCTTTGCAACCATCAGGTAATCCTGATTCATCCAAGTGCTGGGAAAGCTGGAGGACCTCAGTGGTGGTCAAGCTGGAAGCTTTCATTTTGTGTTCCAGCTGCTTAACCAAGGAGGTAGCCATGCTGCTACATTGGGCACCCCTTTTGCCAAGCATTTGCACCATGGAGGTGACCTCCTGCTTCAAGTCTTCCAATTGCCATTGGCCAGGCATGGCTGACTGCAAAGTGACACAGCCAATGCTTTACATAAGCTTGGGAAGGTTGCAGCTGCAGAAATGAGTGGCAATAGAGCAAGCCTGTAAAACACAATGGTGCTTGAAGCCTGCAGGCCTGGAGAACAAATAAAGCAGCTTACAGTTAGCAAAAAAAAGCAACCAGCAGTGAGCCTAGAAAGGCTGAAGTGAATATGCCTAGCAAAGCTAAAATAAATGAGCCTAGAAGGGCTAAAGAATTGAGCTTTGAAAGGCTGAAAACTTGAGCCTTCGAAGTGGCCAAAAGCAATGAGCTTATATAGAGCTGAAAAACAAAGAGCTTAAAAAGGCTTCAACATTGAGCCTGCAAAGGCTGAAAGATTGAGACTACAGAGATGCTACTAGATGTGAGCTTGGGAAAGCAAACAGCATGAAACCTTTGCTTAACATAAGCAAATACTTTGCAACAATCATCCAATGGCTAGTAAAGTAGCTATACAAGACTTGATCAGACTAATGCAAAAAGCACACGATTGTTTTTTTCAGCAAAGCTGTAGGTTGTCATTTCATTGTCTCTACAGACTGCACATCAGCATTTGGTCTCTGCATTGCTAGCCTCACATTGTTGTGGATCATGCACAATGCAAAGTGTGAATACAAAATTTTCAATGGAGCATTCAATCTTGGCAAAAACATGCAAACATAAAGCATCCCAGGCACTGTATTCAGAGATTGTGTCATAGTACCACTCAGAATGGTTTGCTCTCATCATCCATTGCAGCTGGCCATTGTGTCCATAGATCAAATGGTATAGCTCAGGTGAATCAATTTCAGGAGCTGGAAAGCCAAGCAAGTGCTCATGCAGTGCTCTGAACATCATGACTTGAGCTCTGTTTTGGTTGCCAAAGCTTTGCCAAGCATCATCAAGACCAATTCCTGTGAAGTAGCCACACATTAACCATGCTGGCACCCATTCTTGCCACCCATGAAGGAAAGTCCAGACCCACCAAATCCACCCTTGAGATGCAACAAAGTGCCCACTGATGATTGGGTCAGCATGGCTGGCTTTTGGAAGTAGAGGCATGACTGAATGTGTGATAGTAAATGCATTTGCAAATCTAATTTACAAATCTATTTGCTACTTATTGTAGGCTGTACAGCAACAAAACTTAATTTCACAAACATAAATATTGCTTTAGCTTTACTTTGACATACTATGTTTCAGAATTGCTAATATATGTGCCATTTGTAGTCTAGTATCACATCTAGTTTCATGTAGTTGTGAAAAATAACTATGAGTTCTGGAAACTAATCTGCAAAGACATACTGCAGCATACACAACTTCACAAACCAAATATCAAAATATAGTTAATAAATGTAGATATTAAAGTTTGCCAAATATAAGACTAACAGCATTGCTATTCTAATTTGAGACACAAATGTAGTTATTAATAGTTTTTAATGTTTTATCGAAATACTAAAATAAAAGTATATATATAATATTTTTGTTTGAACACAAATCATAAATATAGTTTTTATTTAATATTAAGAGTGCATTTAAAAATATATATATACAGTTTGTTTTGAATATAAACATATTAATGTTTTGTTTGTTTGGGGGGAAATTTTAGCAATTTTTTAAAAATCAATATAACTATTTTCTTTTATATGTAATTTAGTATCTAAAATGTACTTTTTTGCTTTTAATTTTCAATTTAGCCTATAAATTGAAATTTTGTTTTTTAAAATTTTCAATTTAGCCTATAAATTGAAATTTGTTTTTTCAATTTTCAATTTAGCCTATAAATTGAAATTTGTTTTTTCAATTTTCAATTTAGCCTATAAATTGAAATTTGGTGTCTTGAATTTTCAATTTAGCATCTAAATTGAAATATTGGTTCTTTAAATGTTTGATGTAATATTTAAATTCTAAAAATAATCTAACATATTCAAAAAATATGTTGATTAAAAATGTTAAACAAAGAAAATAGTATATCAAAGCTTAGAAAATCTATATCCTTTGTGAACGTGAAAAACTTAAACATTAAAGCTTACAAAGGTTAAATAATCTATGAGTCTAAAAAGACTTGAACATTTAAGCACACAAAGACTATATAATCTTTGAGCCTCACAAGACTTGACCATTGGAGCCTACAAAGGCTATATAGTTTGATAACATCAAAAAGCTTGAACATTGGAGCCTACAAAGGCTACACAAAGTGAAGAGCCTGTAAAGGCTGATACAGTGTAAAGTAAGACTCTTTTTTTCCAGTCTCTCTTCTCCTTGGCTGTAGTCTCAAGTCATCCTACTTGGGCCATGGCAAATATCCAAGTATGTAAAAGGCAGTGATGCCAATGTGCTGGTACAATGAGATCAGAGGGTGTAGCTGTTCCTGTAGTGCAAACCACTGGGACATTGTTGAAAGTTGTTCTTGCATCCTTTGCCACTCACCAACTTGATGCAATGCAGTGAGAACAGCTAATTTGTTTTGGAAGCCGGTCTTCTTCTTCTCTGCCTGATTGTTGAACAAATGAAAACACTCAAAATGATATTGAACTTACAAAACCCAAAAATAAACACAATAACAAAAGTTATACAGATTTAAATATTCAATGTGAGTTGCATACCTAAAGGAATGCCATTGTCCTCTAATATCCTGCCAGTGAAAACCAGTCTGGTCCTTCACAAAACCATTTGGAGCTGAAGCAGTAGAGGTTGGCACAGCTTGTACTCCAACACCTCCCACACAGCCTTGCATCACTGGAGCCTGCTGTTGGAAGTAAGTTTGCTGCTGTGCATAGTTCACTGCCTGCTCATTCTGCACTGGTGTTGCCCAAGGAGGTAGGGTTGTAGGTTCAGGAACTCCTTGCTGCAAGACAAGTGATACAGGTGTCCAAACCGTGGGTGGCCTTGACAGCAAGCCAGCAGGAATTCCAGGTGGTACTCTGGCTTGCCATGGTGCCTGCAATCACATTGAAAACAACAATGAAATTATGATGGACTGCCCAACCAAAACAGCTGCCCAACTTAGTCTGTGATCAATTGAAGCCAAGTTGCTTGTCCAGCAGGAATTTGTGATTGCCCAGAGCCTGCAGCAGCACTTCCTGTAGCTGTAGATTGCATAGAGCCTTGTTGGTGGCTTGCCTTAGTGAGAAGTGGCCAAACCATCATGCAATCTACATTGAAAAACAGCTGCCCAACTAAAATGAGTTAAGCTACAAGTGCATTCTTCAGTCGATCCCACACTTCCTCTGGAGACAAAGTCCTGTAGTCCTCCTCATCCTCCTGCTTCACAGGTTGCTCAGCCATGACTCTTGGTTTTGGAAGAGGTCGAGGTCTCTTGTCGAGCTTTTGCTTCTTGGCACTAGTTGTAGGTGCTGGTTCTTCTTCAACTTCAACTAATACATGAGCTTCAGCTGGCCCAGTCCCAACAGGCTCTGCCAACTGTGCTACATCAGGAACTTCATCTGGAGGTTCCTGAAGTGAAGTGATATGACATTAATTGTTCTATATCTAGAACATATACAATATCATATTATGAAAGTCACACATTTGTTAACAAAAAGTTGCCCAAAAACAGCGAGACACAGTGGGAGCCCTTTGGTCCTACAAGGTTGGGCATAAACCTCTATGAGCTACAATAGTGACACCATATATCAGATATCAAAACAAAACCTTATTTCTGCAGTCCTCATACCAGTCTGCTTCATTTTGTTCATTCAATTCCATGGCCCACTCTTCATAGCTTGTGAAAGGCTTGTTCTCCCTTTGCCTCTTCATGGCAAACACAAATGCTTGCCAAGGCTAGCAGTACTTGAGCCTAAACAACATGGCTTGTTTTGAACCAATTACAAATTGTTTTACATTTACTAAAAACACAAAGAACTTTTTGAAAAAAAACTCAAAACAAGCTAACCACAAAAAACTTCCAAAAACTGTTATATCTGAGCCTGCAAAGGCTAATGGGGATGAGCCTGCAAAGGCTGATAGAAATAAACCTGCAAAGCCTGATGAAAATAAACGCGCAAGGGCTACTGGTAATGAGCCTGCAAGGGGTACTGGTAATGAGCTTGCAAAGGCTGATAAAAAAATAACCTATAAAGGTTAATGGGCATGGGCCTGTAAGGGCTACTAGTGATGAGCTTGCAAATGCTTTCATTGAAGAGAGCTTGGAAAAGCTTGTCCAAAACTGAGTCTGTAATGGTTTTTGGGCAAAAGCCTAGAATGGCTATTGTCTTAGAGCTTGAAAGGGCTCATGGGCTGAAGCTGGCCCTACCAAGGGCCAGTATTCAACAAACATCATTGCCCTTTTCACCTGGCAACTTCAACTTGTGTTTGAAGCCTACTTTGTCTTCTTTGTGTAGGCTCTCTTCTGTACATCTTTGAAGCAGCTTTCGCAATCAGCTTCCAAAAATTCAAAAACAGAAGTCACCATGCTTGGGTCCAGCAAGACAGATACATCTTTCTCCTTGTAGGAGCTGGGCTTCAAGACTTCCACTTTGATGCCACCCACATCCAGCTGAAGAGTAGCAGGCCCATTGTCCAGCCTGGGCTTCTTCTTTGGCTGCTCATCCTTGAACAGTGCCTGCTCTTTTTCACCACCATCGTCCTGCTGGTTTGAAGATGCATTGGCCAAAGCTTCTTCCTGCTTCTTCCTGAGCAATGCAAAGCATTCACCTTTGCTGAGGCTTGGGTTCTTGCACTCTCTGTAGAGATCCAAATTGTGAGCAGCTAGCACTCTGCAAACAAATGGGTGGCTGGCTTGGAGTTTGAGAAACTTCTTGCCATCTGGGCCAGGAAGGATCAACACTTTTGGAACCACAGCTGCACACACATTCTTGTAAGACAGCACCACCCTCCCTGAGATGTCCACCATGAATGGCAAGACACTATAGAGGCACAGGCAGAGACTTGGGACAAAAGACTTGCTGCAAGAAAAAGCATAGAGTAGAACGGCAAAAAGCTTTGCAGAAAATTCAGCCACTCATGGCTTTTCAAAGAGCTTCAAAAAGCTATGAATACTAGAGCCATTGAAAGCTTGCATATTCAACCTTCAAGCCAGCT